CACACCACACTGATTCTCTAGCTGATTGATGCTCTGCAGATAACTTAACTTGCTGGGCCCCATAAGAGGTTCTAACCCACAGAGCTACACCTCTACTGCACTGCTCTTCATTTAAGTTATGAAAACAATCAAAACCTGGCAGCTGAAATTCAACAGGTACAATTTTCCACCCGTGATTTTTTAGGAAGTCCATGGAATAATTCAGTGAGCATGGAATAAACGTCTCGGACATATATAAGGCTAGACTCTCGGCCAGCCTCCATTTAAAAAATCTCATGAGCTAAACATCAGCGTTAGGCAATCATGAATAAGTGTATCAAGTTTCAGCAAGCTACGTTCATTACTTTGGGAGAAATTTCAAAATTCCATGCTCATTGAATTTGGAGACCGGCTGCGAGTCCGGCCGTAAATTTGTCCGAGTGGTGCTATGCAGTTGCACTTGTTCAGTCATGAAATGCCTAGCACCTTCCAAGCCTTGCAAGAAGTCTACCAGCTATCTCAATCACTCATCAGTTATGGAAAGATCGGGTACAAAAGGCAGGATCCCTTGTAGAATCAAATCACGAGAAGTACATTATCTGCAACAGACCATTGGCCTATTTCTTCAGTGTTGACACTTCTATGACTTACATATAATAGGTTAGCATTATTTCATTTTACTGAACAAATTTACAGAAATCAGAAGATGATCAATAAAATGCTAAATAATATTGTTGGTCCTTTTTTCTTTTCATTTGTATAAATGTGTAATCTATTACGTAAAAGCATTGCTATCCATGTTTTAGAGGAAATTGTAAACGGTTAGTTACCCCCCGTCCGATCTCAGTGCAACATAGGATGTGAACTCGCGAGCACAGCAGTGCACCACCAATTTTGTGCACCAATAAGCCCTAAATCGAATGCCTTGGATCTCTCCGGACATCCACCCGTGGTTGAACTCTTAAAAGCTGCTTTACTATCATTTCCCTAAAGCTTGAGGAAAGACATTGTTGCTTTGCCACACCATAGTGGGATGGAAAATGTTCAAAATTTGGCTCTTGGGTGGCGTGCAAAGCCAAAACATGACTTTGGTGCTCTCAAACTCCAGCTAACCTTTTAGAATACAAATGTTGTGAGGCTGTGACCTGGTACACCAAACTCAGGAAGCAGCACCCAAGCTGGGTTCAGCATATTGGAACTGCCATCCATAGTGGCAAACCACAGCTTTTTTAGAATCAGTTCATTTTCAATTTCCTCATTTACCCAAGATTTAAACCAATTTCTTAAGTATGATGATGCTAGTATCCAGGATACTTTACTGGTCTACTTATAGGACTCAAAAATGAACTTGAGGGAGAGTCTAAAAAACTCTCTGCTTTGCCACTATGCTGCCATCATATGGGGTAGGGTAAACGCGGTATATTCCGACAAGCGACAACGTGGGTAATTCCGTCACCTCTCTAGTTTTTCCTTTATATTAAGCTTTGTTTTAGTTCCATCAGTGCCAAAACACTAGGTCTTGGCCATATATATATATATATATATATATATGCAAGTTTGATTGAAGACCAGAGCATGCTTTTTATTTACAATCTTCTTGTTCGTCTTTTCAATGCGGAGGGCGATTCTGGCGGAGGGCCAGGCTATTTTCTAAACAGAAAAACCTACTCTATAAACTCTTTTTAGCTAGTTAATCACGCTATTTGCCAAATTCTTGACGAAGTTACATTGAAAGATGTAACGGCACAACGGATAACGAAAATATAAAACTTTTGATCTACTACAAAAATAAGAAAATAAAAAACCTTGTAATGAATAATAATCCCTGTAAAAAAACTGGTCTGCTTCAAGAAACTAATGTGGTTTATAAATTCTCATGTAATAAAGAAGGTTGTAGACTTCTTCCAAACATGAACTACATTGGACTTACAAGTACGACCTTGAGCCGACGACTCACATGCCACCTGCAATCTGGAGGACCTAAGAACCACATGCGGGAGGCTCACAATGAGACCATCACCCGAGCGACATTGGAAGCCTGCACCAGCGTAGTTATGCGGTGCCCCGACCCATTGAGATTGACGATAGCTGAGGCCCTCATTATCAAGAGCGAGTCTCCAGCTATCAACTTCCAAACTACAGGATACGTCCGGACGCTGAAATTATTTTCAGAGTAATTTTAAGTTTATATATTTTGTTGTATCCATATTATTTATTTTATTGTATCCACTATACCATTCATATGTACTTCAGTCATTTCAAATTCAATTTCAAATGTTGTAAAACCATCTCCAGCTTGATAATGAAAATTGTATTTTCGAAATGTTGCTAACTATTAAAATGTCATTCGGAAACCTGCTTTTCGATCTCCCGGCTCCAGCTAGAAATTTGGTTCGACTCATTGAAAAGACGAACAAGAAGATTGTAAATAAAAAGCATGCTCTGGTCTTCAATCAAACTTGCATAAAAGAGAAGCTTTTGCCGAACTACACCAATATATATATATATAGCCATATAGGCTAGGTGACATTTTCAAAAAATAAAAATGGGAAGAGAATCAGATGGAATACACTTCATTGGGCATGTCCTATAAGCAAAAAGATTCAAAAGATTCACTTCCAGCATCAAGATCAAGTGGTTGGATCGTATGAATTTATTACCCTATGGCTTGAAGCTTGATCTGCACTGCAGAAAAGTCCATCTAATTTTCCGGTGTAGCTTACTAGCTTCTTGCCCAATGCAAGACTTTGTATATTAAGGAAGAGAGTAGAAATTGGTTTTCCTGTGTTTATTTTGTCTTTTCATAACTGGAGTCTGGAATGATAGTGGTGCTCACTCATCAAGCTCTCATGAATCATATCAAAAGTTTTGGAAATTTATTATGAGACTCAGTTTTTCATCTGCCTTAACCCTTTAGCGGGCAAGCATTGAAATATCCAGAAATGAAAATTTCAGAAACCATTTCAAGAAAGTAAGAAGTATTATACAATATATTTATTTCTATGAATTTTTGCAAATTTTGCCTATTGAAGGTTTAAATCGCACTTGAAGAATTCAATAAATGCAATTAGTACACAAAATTTTTCTTTATATGGTAATCAAAATTCAGTTTATGCAAATGAAGAATTAGAAACATAAAATTTTAATTTAATTAAATTTGATCAAAATGCCAAAATAAATAAATATATATATTGATCCTTCCACCTTTTGAAGAAAATGAGGAAAGAGCGTCAGTTCCATTGTCCGAGTCAAAACCTTCATTTAAATGCTCATATTTCAATTTGTGGACTTTGCTGCTGGTGATGCTATAGATAGAACGATGGTCAGATAATTAGGGATTGACTGAGGCATTAAAAGGATGCCTCAAAAACAAACAGGAAGCCGTGGTGAGGCTTTTTGTGACGTGATTTCAAGTGATCATATATGGTAACTTACCTGTGAAAGGGTTAATTTGTAGTTTGAGTTTACATTTGATCATTAACTCAAAAAATATTTGTCTTTTTAAAAACTTTAATAAATTTGCATGTCAGTTTGGAATGAAATAAGTGCCTTTAAATTCCCTTTTAAAATTCATCATGCAAAGAATTTTTCATCATATTATGTTCAACATTCAAGAGTTCATACAGTTTTTAAATTCTTTGTTCCACAACATAAGTAATCCATTTTTTTTCCTTTTCTCAGATCTCCTCATACAGTTGTTTGTTTTATTTATATTTTCAGAGCTAACCAAAAGATACCTACAATGGCTGAGAATGTTTCATTTTCAGTACCTGTTGTAATTTATAACATTCCTAAAGATTTTGATACATTTTCTCTTCGTGAGTTCTTTCATGAGTTTGTGGAGGCAGATGGATTTCATTTGTTCCATTTCAAAAACCGACCAGAATCCAGCATGAGGGAATTTATACAGAAATCCTTTCCAAGCACAACTTTGCATTCTACCTCAAAAATCATGTCTCAAAATTTAACAAATTCAGATGTGAAAACAGATTTTGATTTTAATTCATACATTAACAAATGTCTCCCAGACAACAATGAAAAAGTCGAGAACACCAATGAGGCTATTCCTGATACCAAGTCAGGTTTTGCATACGTGAGACAGACACTCCTGCAAGACTTGCTAGCAAACTACCACAAGCGTCCGTGGCAGCTGGGGGAAGAGACTTGTGATAGCCTTGCTTGCTGTTATATTACCAGGCTGCATTTGGGAAGTAAGTCTGAGGATTTGCAAACTGTGTATTTTTATGAAGGGTTCATTTGGGAAGTAAGTCTGAGGATTTGCAAACTGTGTATTTTTATGAAGGGTTCATTTGGGAAGTAAGTCTAAGGATTTGCAAACCATGTATTTTTATGAAGGGTTCATTTGGGAAGTAAGTCTAAGGATTTGCAAACCATGTATTTTTATGATATATAAATTGTGAACATTGCATACCGTATATATTTTACTTTTTTCAGTTCCTGGTTGAATTACTTTTCATATGGATTATACCATACCTATCATATTTAGTGTGCCATATAAAGTAACAATTATGAACATTACATATACGGTATTTTACTTTTTTCAGTACTGGTAACTAGTTGAATTAATTTTTGTATGGATTATGTTCAGTGTGCCCTATAAATATGATTTTTGCTTTACAGATGAGGACGATCTAAAGAACTGTGAAGAAATGCACCCTCCAACTGGACTATGCAATGGAAATGTTGGAACCAAAAATAGTCATCTTGTGAGGCTCATACGAACTGGTATCCTCGGCAAGTCTTTCATGTTAAAAATACAACAGCGCGCGCCTTTGCTCTGGAACTGGGCTCTGCCTCCTGCAATACCTTGCAGACACAGGTCAGCTTACTTCTGGGTCTTAGGTCAGCTTACTTCTGGGTCTTAGGTCAGCTTACTTCTGGGTCTTAGGTCAGCTTACTTCTGGGTCTTAGGTCAGCTTACTTCTGGGTCTTGGGATTTCATATTACTCATTTGAATGCGAAGTTCTTACTGTATATAACCTTTTTAACACATTTTATAATGTATGAAAAAATGCACTATTGTGCTCGCCATGTCCGTCTGTCTGTCCGTCCGTCCGTCTGTCCATTACTTAATGTTTTCGTCAACGAGAAATTTCGCTCTCTGTCACTCACTGCAGTGAGTACTGAGTTATATTTTTCATTATATCCTGCTGCTAATAGTAATAGTTGTTATGATTGTGGCTTGGTAAATCAATTGTGATGATTTTACTGGTTTCTTTAAATCTAATATATAGATACTCATAACACAGCCAAATGTTGCAAGACACAACCGAAATTAAAAACAGGCTTGTGGCGCTTACACTATGAGTCAGTGAATAACATTGAACATACCTTAAGTACAGTAAGCTACCAGCACCGTACATGCAATTTATCTGAAAATTGCGTATTATTTCGTAGCGAGCCCAAAAAGTGAGCCGGTTAATAATGTCTTGCAAAGTGGAGATAGACACGGTCGGGAATGGCAAGTTATTTCCCAACTTTAATTGGTGTATGTTAATATTTTACCACCAGTATTTTTATGCACATTACACACTTGGGTGTTAAGGCTTCGCGATGCTCACGTAGAGTATATATAGTACTATATAATATATAGAGTATATATAGTATATAGAGTATATATAGTACTATATAGTATATAGAGTATATATAGTATATAGAGTATATATAGTAATATATAGTAGAGCACTTGCTCTCCTTTAATAACTCCACTGATTTTCCACCACTTCACTTGAACACTTTTATAGACAAATAATAATGAATGTATATGCGTAAAGATTTTCTTTAATGCAGGTTTTGTTGAAGACCAGAGAGCATTTCTTATTGACAATTTTCTTATTGTTTTTCTCTATTCGATGAATTAGGCTCTTGAAAAAAAAAATTTAAATTAAATTAAAGCGTTAAAGAAAATTTTTTGCCAAACTACACCAGCGTAAACATTTGTAAATATTATTGAAACTGTTTTACTAAAATTCTATCAGGACCATGCATCGCGCATCCGTCTCTTGTAACAACACAACAAACCTGAGTCAAGTGTCTTGTTTCAACGAAAAGTTTACTGTGTTTATATGCTCAGTCGTGCTTTATTGAATTTTGCTGTGCTTTATTATATGTTTCTTGGAAATTGTGTTAAAAATATATAACTCAGTACTCCTGCAGTGAGTGACAGAGAGCACGAACGAAAAGGTGAAGTCACAGACGGACGGACGAAGAGAGACGGACATGACGAGCAGAATAGCACCTTTTTCCATAAATAAGAAAATGCGCTAAAAAGTTGTATGTCTTTGTATAACGACGAAGTATAGGAGGGATGTATTTTTATACCTACATTTTTTCTTTTTTCGTTCTACTTTTGACATGTTCTTGGACGTTATTAGTCATTAAAATTTTAGTATTTTAAGCGCATTTTCTCATATATGGAAAAATTGCCCTATTGTGCTTGTCATGTCCATCTGTCCGTGACTTCACGTTTTCGTCGACGAGAAAATGCGCTCTCTGTTACTCACAGTGCAGTGAGTTCTGAGTAATATTTTTTTATTTTTTGCTGTTGGTCGTGTCTTGATCAACTACCGGTCTTTACCACGCTTAAAAATGCATTTCAGGCAATAGCATTAATAACAAGAAATGTTTGGTACTCCTCAAATGTTGCTTCTTAGTTGAGCTTACGTAACATCATTAACAAACTTGTGTTAAAATGACCGTGCGGCAAGACAGGTCTCATTTCCAAAATAAGGTCAATTGTTGCGAGTTTTTTTTTATTTTTTCAATAAATTCACCACGAATACTTAATTTGCAGCACATAATAGGCACGGTTAATTTTTTCGAGCTTTTTTCTATTTTTTTAAGATATTCTCCACGAATACTTTATTTGCAGCACTAAATGTGTTAAAAATACAACAGCGCGCGCCTTTGATCTGGAACTCTGCTCTGCCACTTGCCATACCATGCCGACATGGCAGGTTATTATACCTGCCATACCATGTATGGTATGGCAGGTTATTTCTGCACGTATGCAGAAATAACTAGAAATACAGTGTATAAAGAATGCTCAAACAGATTGTCATTTCGGGTTTCTTATAGTCCGTGGTCGTGTCTTGCCTAACCTGACTCTTAGATTTATCGCCGACCATTAATAATGACCAATCATTGAACATCCATAATTTCAGTCAGTGGTGCATTTTTTCTGCTAATGATTATACAATAATAAAATATGAAGGAATGTCATCATTGTTGTGAGAATATTATTTCGAACTTTGCAGTGCTTGCGGAATGAAAGAATGCGAGATCTTCTTCATTCTGGATATCCCGCCATCATTCATCAAGCGGGATCTGAAGAATTTCTTCTTGCAACCTCTGCGGGTTGGTGACATGTGCGACATAATTTACCTACAGCGACCCTCGTCCAACCTCAAGCAATTCATGAAAGAGAACATGCCTCACTTTAGCCTGGAGGGATCACTCGACGTAGCAGAGAATGACACGTTGAATTGTGTTGAAAACTCGGCCACAAGTCTTCTTGATTTGTATCCTTTCTCTAGGAGAATTTCTGATGAAACTAAAAGCTGTTTGGTTAGAGTTGACAAGGACAATAATGACACGTTAAATTGTGTTGAAAACTCGGCCACAAGTCTTCTTGACTTGTATCCTTTCTCTAGGAGAATTTGTGATGAAACTAAAAGCTGTTTGGTTAGAGTTGCCAGTGACTCGTGCCAAGACTTCATCCAGAACCATCACGGCAAGCCCTGGCAGTCTGGAGAAGGCACGTGTAGTGTTGTCAGAGTTAGCAGGGGTGAGTATATATATATTTACAGGTTGATAATTGTTCTTGATTGTTCCCAGGTTGATTGTTGTCATCATTACAGGTTGATTGTCCCTATCATTACAGGTTGATTGTTTCCTATCATTACCTACTGATGATAAATGTGAGGAGGGTTAAAACTAATGAACTATTAATGTTCTTGATTCTATAGTTTTAATTATCACACTACGTATTCATATTCTACTTCATATCATTTAAACTCAGCCTCCATAATTCGAGATGATTAAGGATTTGTATCAATTTTATGATATTGGTAAATATCATAATTTTGTTTTAAGTTGGGGAGTAATGACTAAGGCAGAAATGGATGAAATACCTTTAATTTTTTGCAACCTACTTATTTATTTGGAATATGTAAATATTCTGATGAATATAGGTGACAAAATACGGGTCAAAAATAAGTGCACAATTACTAGATATTATTTCGTGCCCATGAGTACACTGTTAAAAAAACGGCGAAAAAACGGTCCCACTGGCGTTCTAGTGGCCGGTCGCCCCGTGAAAATAAACTGTTTCGCCGTTTCAATCAGATGTTTTACCGATTTCTAGTGTTAAATTAGAATAAAAACGGCGACACGGTGTTTCTTTTCACGTGCCAACCGGCCACTGAAACGCCGGTAATACCGTTAACGGTAATTTTTCTAACAGTGTATAACAGTCTTCTTTCCATTGGAATAAAGTAACCTTGTATCATTTCAGAGCACACGGCCAGCCTGGTGTTTTTAAGCGAATTTTGGAAGTTCGCGGGAGTGAAAGACATCGTGAGCACATCGGAGGAACCTGAGGAGTTCTTCATGAAACTTTTCCTAGCAGGTCTACCGCCCGTCGATCTCAGAGACAGGCTGAGGAATGCTGTGCCTCACTTGTGGAAGAAAATTGAAGGCTCTCATAATAGGATGCGGTAAGAGCTATTGCTGTGAATCTTTGTCTCTTTTTAATAATATCACTCATCTATTGGTTCACATTTTGTTTTATTTTCCATGTTGATAAATAAACCTCACTTGTGGAAGAAAATTGAAGCCTTTGCTAATAGGATGCGGTAAGTGTTTTACTGTGAATCTTTGTCTCTCTCTCTAATAATATCATTCATCTATTGGTTCACATTTGGTTTATTTATCACGTTAATAAATAAACCTCACTTGTGGAAGAAAATTGAAGCCTCTGCTAATAGGATGTGTTTCATAATAAGTGTTTCACTCTGAATATTTGTTTCTACTTTATAAAATATCAATCATCTATTAGTTCACTTTTATTTTATTTATCATGTTAATAAATAATTGTGAAGATGCGGTAAGTGCTATGCTGTGAATATTTGTCTCTACTTAATAATATCACTCATCTATTGGTTCACTTTTTGTTTTATTTTTCATGTTAATAAATAATTGTGAATATTATAAAGGACATATGGAGACAAGGTTCTTGCTTGTATAATTTGTGTTCCCTTTCTTTACTGCGCAGTTACTACAAAGTCCCAATTATCTCTTATATCCTTGAAAATTTCTACAATGCTGTTTTCACTTTCAGATCGAACATATCAAGAAAGCCATTGAAAAATACACCAAGATCAACATCAGTAGCAAATAAACCGTACAAGAAGACTGTTGCCATTCCACCTCCACTATCACTTGTCAACGAATCTATAAGAAAACAAAAGGTTCCTGCTGAATCTAGTCAACTTTTATCATTTAATGAAAAGGGGATGAAAAATCAAGAAAACTTCGAGACAACTACGTTGAATAATGACGGTTCGGCCACAATTTCCAGTGAAAATCATGAGAGGATTTCCCAAAATAGGATGAAAAATCAAGAGAACTGTGAGACAGCTACGTTGAATAATGACGATTCGGTCACAAATTCCAGTGAAAATAATGAGAGTAAATCCCCAGGCTTCACTAACACTGCAACTAATCGGACACGAACTGAGCGACAAGCCAGAAAACCACGCGGAAAAAAGAAGGCAAACAAACGCAAGAAGACCTACAGTATGAAGGCTCAGAGGTCAGTTTTTAATCATCCAACTAATGATGTTGACTAAAGAAGTGGCACTCTCGCATATGTTTGTTTAGATGTTCTTAAAATATTTCATTGATACGGAAATGACAAACGAAAATATAGTCGCAAAAGATGCATCACTTTTCAAGTCCATCAAATGAAAAAGATTGTTGATTATTTCGTCAGAAAATGGTATAGTGTTAACTGTTCAATAATTTCAGGACGGATCAGACGTGGAGGAGTGGGAGAGATCGGAAGCTTTCCGGGACACCATCGATGAAAAACGCAGCGCCAAGGAGCTCAGATACGAGCAAGATATTGAGGTGCGTGTGCTTCTGCCTCGGTAATTTGGTTTTGAATAAAGTATTGACGTTGAATGGTGATACTAAATTGAGGTGTGTGTTCTTCAGCCTTGGTAATTTGGTTCTGAATAAAGTATTGATGTTGAATGGTGATACTAAATTGAGGTGTGTGTCTTCAGCATCGGTAATTTGGTTCTGAATAAAGTATTGATGTTGAATGGTGATACTAAATTGAGGTTTGTGACTTTGAATAAAGTATTGATGTTGAATGGTGATACTAAATTGAGGTTTGTGACTTTCAGCCTCGGTAATTTGGTTCTGAATAAAGTATTGATGTTGAATGGTGATACTAAATTGAGGTTTGTGACTCTCAGGTGATCATATCTGATCAAAGTATTGATGTTGACTGGTGATACTAATGTGTTTTACATACATAACTCATTTTGGTGATGTTATCGAAGAAAGTAGAGTCGGTGTTGTGCCGACATGCAGACGCTGATCTGTGACGTTCGAGCGGATAATGATGTGTAGTGATTGTACACGCTTTGCATGCTTCAAACGTTTTAAAATTGTGTTTTATTTCAAGTGTCCCGGATCACCCCATTCCCAGGTGTAATTCGGGACGCTTTTAATATGGCACTTTACGAATAGCATATGGAATTTTTTCAGAGATGCCATACGATAGCCCTCGCGAGGGTTTTTAAAACCAGCCCAAACTTGTTTATGAAATGTTTCACGGTAAGAAGTTATTAACAAAAAATATAACTCAGTACTCACTGCAGTGAGTGACAGAGAGCGCATTTTCTCGTCAACGAAAACGTGGTCACGGACGGACGGACAGACAGACGGACATGACGATCACAATAGCGCCTTTTTTTCCATAAATGAGAAAAGGCGCTAAAAACGCTCAAAACCGTACGTTATTACCCCGTTTGACGATATTGCAACAACAATCTTCTACTCCCCTCTCATGCTGCAGGTAATAGAATAGAATAGAAGTGTCGGCACTGAAGAAATAGGCCCATGGCCTGTTGCCGATTCTTGAATTTTTCGTGACTTGATTCACAAGGGATCCGGCATTTGGAACCCGATCTTTCCATAACTGACGATTGATTGAGATAGCTGCTGGACTTATTGCCTGATATTGATCTGCTCTCATGCTGCAGTTGGTGTGGGAGAAAGGAGGCTCGGGTCTGAACTTGTTTATGAAATGTGTCACGGTTTGAAGTTATCAACGAAAAACGCTCAAAAGCGTCCGTTATTACCCCGTTTGAAGGCATAGCAATGACAATCTTGTACTCCCCTCTCATGCTGCAGTTGGTGTGGGAGAAAGGAGGCTCGGGTCTGAACTGGCACACGGACGCGGCGTACTGGCGGGAGCAGGAGGGCGGCTTCGACGAGCGCACCACGGACGAGTGGGACGTCGACATGCAGGCTTACTATGGCGGTGGTGCGTGTTGAGATATTCTAATACTTTGATAATGTTTATGCAAACATTAATTTTCTGAATTCTTTCTGAATAATTCTTGTTTTCTTGTCAATTTCGATATAATGCTAGAATAAGTTAGCGTAAGTGGACAAACTTCGTTGTTGTAAACTAAGGACTTATCATGGCGTTTTCTCAGTAAACTGCTAATTTTTTACTTATTTTAATCTTAATCTTGAGCCAGTTGCAACCAGTTCTTGACTATTTTTCTTACACTTGGTAACAAGCTCAGTTTCCTGTAGCTACCGATTATATATTACACCTGTGCTGAGATCTCGAAATATTCTACCATCTCTAAAAAAGGCTTAAATGCTAGTCTGATTTCTTCCGTAGTTCTTAATGGCTACGCTCAATTATAGGTCTATTTATCTTATTTATCACGTCTTTATATGTCAACACGAATTCACTCGACAGTCGCTGGAGATTACGACGCGGTATGCCGGCAAGATATGGATAGGATGGATCGTTTACGAGCTGGAGAAGACGAAAGCTGCTTTGCTCCTCCGTCTGGCAGGGCTTTGAAAGCAAATAAACAGCGCCGTACGACCAGTTCGACAACACAGCTGCGTACGACAACTTCACCATTTATTGCTCCCTGTACTGAGAGTCCGGACGCTGCCAGACGTAGGATGCTCGTCAACCTGCGGACGGATGACGTACCTGTTCCTGGAACTAGAACTGCTCGACGCAAGGCTAATAGAGGTGTGATTATTGGCTAATAGAGGTGTGATTATTAGCTAATAGAGGTGTGATTATTGGCTAATAGAGGTGTGATTATTGGCTAATAGAGGTGTGATTATTAGCATAGCTGATAGAGGCATGATTATTAAGCATAGCTAATAGAGGTGTGATTATTAGCATAGCGCGAGAAAGAAGATCATGTCTGCATGAGTGAATAATTCGAATTTCAAGAAATTCAAATATCTTTACCTAAGTGTTAATCCGCGCAAACGTGAACAAACATATTTATCACGAGAAATTTAGGTACCGTGACTCACGCAGTGACATTACACGCAATGATAACTAACTTCCCTCATTGTCCCTTAATTAATCTACAAACAATTGCATGGAGATACGACAAAATCCACGTTACGATGGTGATAACGATTCCTTTTTCTTGTGATTAGGATTATCCATTTATGGTGATAACGATTTTACGTTTCTTGTGATTACGAGTATCAATTTTTGTGATTATGATTTACAATTTCCTGAGATAACGATTTTACATTTATGGTTATCGCTATTTCCTATTTCAGGCTATTGCAATTCCCCGTTTCTTGTGATTACGATTATTCATTTATTGTGATTATAATTCCCCGTATCTTGTCCTGATATTTCCCTCGCCCCCGTGCAGCATCCCGCACCCCCGCCAGCGCGGGGCTCGGGGAGTTCGAGCAGCACACCCGCGGTGTGGGGAGGAGGGTGCTGGAGGCCCAGGGCTGGAGGGACGGACAAGGCCTGGGGAAGCGTGGGGAGGGACGACCGAACATCGTGGCCACCGTCCACCGTCTCCCCACCGACAAGAAGGGATTGGGGTGAGCGGCAGCGTTGTTTCTCTCTCTTGATAATGGCATTCATTTTGTCCTGTTGCTTCTTATTGCTGTTGTGATGGTACATCATTACATCAGAACGACATTCAAGTAAATAGACATTCAAATCAATAGATATTCAAGTTTATAGACATTCAAGTAAATAGATATTCAAGTTTATAGACATTCAAGTAAATAGACATTCAAGTGATTAGACTTTAAACTAAATAGTCATACATTTATCACTACTCCATATCTCTTTAATGCACAGGTTCCTGGACCCTGGTCCGTGTTGGAAGGCCACCGGGGCTCCGGTGGCCTACAAGAGCCCCGAGCGCTGCAGTAGCGACCTGGAGAACTCCTACAAGAACATTAACACCTACAAGAACATTAACACCTACAAGAACATTCCTCTTGTGGCCCTCAACTCCTACTACCTGCAACAGAAGAAGATTTTTGAGACCGACTGTCTTGCACTTCTTGGGGAAGGGTGTTCGGGGACTGATGAAAATACCTTGGATTCCATTCATACGTTGCATGAAACTCGACGGAAAAAGCTGAAGAAAATGATGAGTGAACTTGAAACGGTTGATGTGTCTGAGAAGAAAGGAGATCCACGGGAATGTTTTGTCAAGGCTGGCGATGTTCAAGTTTCGTCAAATAGCAATGACGACGAAAATATAAAAAATGACTCACCGTGTATTATCAATGAGGGGGAAAATAAAGAGGAAAGCTTGCAAAGAGCGAGACTAATGGAGAAGCATTTAGAATATCTTAATGAGTATGGGGTCTGTGAGGCGCAAGTTGAGGATGAATCTTGTAATGATGTGACTCACTGACACTAGAAACTCTTAGAAGGATATTTTATTTATTTATGAGAATTCGTTGAAAAGGTGAACAAATGTTAATGGAATATATACTCTTTACAAAACTGCTTATGTATTCTTCTTAATTAGTTTACAGGGAGAGCATCATGATTTCATTCATTGTATCGCTCTATTAATGAGATGACTGTCAGGTTCGAAAATCTTTGCGACGTGTGCTACTTTAAAACCCCAGCAATATGGCCGACTATGACGCACAGTTGACTCATGTAGAATACTATTTTGTGTGAAGGAATGAAGGATTCGTTGTGATGTATATTTCTCATGATACTTCGCATGTTTATTGGTAACGTGAAGATGGACTAAACTAGGAAATCTAAATGTTTTTGTTTTGTCTGCTCTCTTTGAATTTTGATTAAATTAAAATTAGTATGACGAGAGAACTGAAATTGGTAAATTCTCACCAGTTGAATCAAATTGGCTATGAGCCTTATAGTTGACGGAACTGAATTCAGTTGTCAATTAAACTTCGTACAGATTATCGGTGAGGACAAAGTGGAGAACCACGATACTGATATTATTTAAATATTCATTTTCCAGCTATTTAATTTTTTTAATTAACATGAACATTTTCGTAACGATATTCTGTTACTCCGGAGAACGTGCTCGTGATACGTACCAAGTTGACGTTTGCGGTCAGCGTACGAGCAATAATGTCGCGCCACGTATGACATTAGTACAATAATCAAGCATTTCCCGTCTATCTTTAGGCAAGTCACAAATTTTATATTATGGATTTTCGCTCTGACTACATCAGAAACGAAAGTTTTGTATATTATGCTAGGATTTAGAATATATGTAAATAACAAATACAACGTACAACAGTCTGTGGAATTTTTAATGTTTATGATTCGCTTCTTTTTGGTGAATCCATAACATTTGTTTGGCTTGAATACAAAGGCGTAAAATGAGTTTAAGTTCGATGCCAAACTTCATCCAACGCTTCATAAATGTCAACAAAACTTTTTTTACGCACTTTGGCGAACAGGAATAGAGAAAAGATTAATGTTATCTTTTGGGCGATATTATTAGACTTTAATTTATTCTAAAATATAGCTTATGACCGTTTTTTGTCTTATTTTACACATTAAAGTTATCAATTGCAATTAATGAAGTAATGAAAGCAATTGTTTTTATATTATTGTTAAATAATACAAACAAGAAAGGTAGAAAATTTTCAATTATTGATGTTGCTAATATTTTATGAAGGTACCCCTCACATCAGCTCCTGCCTTCAAACGTTTCAAACGTTGGTGCGCTTGGCACTCTTGATAAGCCCAGATTATGTTACACATTAAAATGCAGTACTTGCGTGTCTGGCGATCCCAGCAGTACGGCAGCTGCCGTAACATTCTGCATAGAATAGAATAGAAGTGTCGGCACTGAAGAAATAGGCCCATTTGCATGGCCTGTTGCCGATTCTTGAATTTTTCATGACTTGATTCACAAGGGATCCGGCCTTTGGAACCTTTCTCATGAAAATGGCCTTTCTCATGAAAATGGATCACGACGTCCGCGAACAGTCGTAGGAAATGTAAGCGGAAGTGGGCTTGGGTGAAGACCGTCAAATTACGAGAGACACTTAGAGTATTACTAACAAACAGGGCATTAATGTCTTCATTGGGAAGTCGTAGTGATTTACCAGCATTCATTACCAGCTATTCATTACGTTATATTTGGTTAGCGAACTTCTCGTTTGTAGCAGCGAATGCAGATAAGGACTGGGCGAATATTCTCGGTCGTTGGACTGTGTGGTCACGAATTAATGGGTGGACTCGGTGTGGTTATATTAAGAATATCCTCGAAATACCATCAGCTCGTCGTCATCTAATAATTTTACAGCTAGCTGGGGGTTTGGAACAAGCAAGTTAGTGCTCCAATTTTACTGTTTTAAACACCGATCGCCTACACAGCACTGATAACAATTTTTCAAAGGCATCATGTCTTCGAACCCGTGACTCACGGCCGCAATATTGCAGCTCATGATTTTCACCACTCGGCCACCTCGTCAATTTATTTGTAGTTTATTGTTGAAGGCTGCCAAATCGATCACAAATGTTGGTGTGATGGTAGTGACTCTTCCTTCATTGCTTGACTTGTTCTACTGTTCAGTTTGAACTGAAAATGTACCCTACAGTCGTGCAACTGCACAGCAATGTGCAACTGCCCCGTCGACACGTTCATCGGCAGTCTTGCATGTCATGCCAAGTTTGACATCCAAGACGTAAGACTGGTGGGTGTCCACACGCTTCAAACTTATCATCAGTCTTGCATGTCATGCCAAGTTTGACATCCAAGACGTAAGACTGGTGGGTGTCCACACGCTTCAAACTTATCATCAGTCTTGCATGTCATGCCAAGTTTGACATCGAAGACGTAAGACTGGCGGGTGTCCATGCGCTTTAAACTTCTCAGTATTTTCTCTCTCGGCAAAGTAAGGACGTAGATTTGATCGCAGCGTTGATCGCAATTAGTGAAAAATTTTAAATTAATGTTCAGAGATTTAGATTGACGCAATCATCTCTCTAATGATTAATAGAGAGAAGACAACCACCATAGAAAGTGTTTAATGGAATTACAATGCGAACCATTATATTGTCGTAATTACTAACGAGGGACATGGAGTTTATAATCATAATTACCTCTAAGCTGAATTTTTTAATATGCTCGCGCTAAAGGCGAATTGTTGTAATGTTGTAACGCCAAATAGTCAAACAGTGACACTAAAGTGAAGACTTCGATCAGCCTCCACGAACAACTCTCGGGTACTCTTGATATTTTTGGCAACCGGATGAAGCTACAAGTATAGACCTCGATTGCACAACAATAATTTTCAAACAAGCTTTGAGTGCAATAATACCAGAGACCTGCTAAGCCAGATACAATAAGCTGAAGGTGTACTTCAAGGTAAATAATATGAGAAAAACTTGAAGGGTTAATAATGTATTTTAAGATATTCTTTTCGACGAGCCGCACGAAGAATATGACTATATCTGTTTCTAATTATTTTTAGCTGTAGGATCTACTTCGTTGAGCATCTCAATCAAAGTCGCATTAATCAGTGTTTTTATTTTTTTTTTTAATTTTGTCCCTGTGGCCTTTTATTAATTTGCTAGGGCAAGGAAAACTACCGTAAATATCAACGAACTCACAAAATCGACAAATCGCGCAACATTTGCCGTAAATATTGCGGTATCTCGGCAATAAACAATGTCCGAGATCTCAACGACAATTAGCCGGATGCCCGTCATAAACGTCCAAATTTTTCGTCTGTCTTGCATGAATCCAAAGGTCCCGTCCATTCGACTTTTACAGGTCAAAGCTGTCATGTAAGACGTCAAACTTAGCATCAACAGTGTCAGTCGTTCATGCAAACTCGATTTGATAGGAAAAGCTGTTGAAGTTAGGTACAAATAAAATGAGTCAATTAAACCGATGACACTGTTTTGAAGTGGTTCGCAAAACCACTTCAAAATTGATTCACAAATTGAAGTGGTTCACCGACAGACGACAGGCGCGATGTTGTACTCACTGTAGTAAAATACGTAGATATAAGTATTGGTACACGAAGATGAATGGTCAGTATGGAAATGATAACATGAAATGAAATTTAACAATTAATAATTGAATTTAAACGAATGAGTCACTACTACACAATTGCGCGTCATCCTCTCTCAAATCTCACAGCAAGAACGTGGTCACTGTGCATTAATTTGGGAGAATTTAGAGTATAAATAACAAGCAGCAGGTTGTAAGGTAATAGTGAAGCAAGCCGTTAGGATTGAAGACCAGGTTGCAATTGAAGGTGGAAGGGCGGATTCTTATCGGCGGTTAAATACAGATACGCAGATTAATAAACTCATATAATAATAAATCAAGTTAGAGCTCGAAGAATGCCGGTATAATAATTCGAGAATTAAATTATAAACAAATCAAGTTAGAGCTCGAAGAATGCCGGTATAATAATTCGAGAATTAAATTATAAACAAAATAACTAACCTATTTGTTTTCTTTAATGAACCATAGATAAGAGTTCTCACAAAGAACTTAAAGAAAGAAAAAGAGGGTAACATATAAAGGTGTGGCCACTCGGTTCTCAAGTTAATGGCATGCAAGCATTAACGTTAAAAACGGCTTTAGATGATTAGTTAAGGAACAATACTCTGCAGAGCAAAACCCGTCGTGTTTCAATGCTTGACTTGAAGCTAGTGAAGTAAATTCAAACAAGTGGTCACAAAGGGCTCGAACATGCAATTAAAAGGTACTAATTAAGAGGAAAACACGTTTGCACAAACTCAAAATCAGAATCAGAAAAACAAATTTTATCGCAAGTCGCAAGATGGTTTAAGAATTAGAGCCGCACAGTAGTAAGGTTGGCACAATAATAATCAAATTAAGCTAAATATGGAATTATATACGTTCTCGCCTCCTAACAAGCGCATAGCGAGCAGCGTATCTACATTAATGAAGTTAGACAGTAATTAATTTGTAATAAATTTCAACGACACTGACGATAACTTCGAACGTGTGGACAGGGCTTCATTATAGCTGTAGATTACTATAGTTGTAGATATAATAGTTGTAGATGTAGATAGCTTCAACATCAACGACACCAGTCCAGTGTTGCCAATTTGACTATTTTGAGCTAAATCTAGCGTATTTTCAAAGCATTCAGTGGGAAAAAATTAATTTTAGCGGAAAAAATATTAGGTTAAACGTTGGTCAAATGAGCTTTTTAGCTACAATATTGGAATAATTGAGTATTTTTGTTAGAAAAAGCCCGGTTTCAGCTTGAATGTCATTGAAAGAGTGACCGAACTCCGAGTCCGACTGTCCGACAGCCGACACGGCATCAGTCGTCAGGAAAGCGGGTACTGGTAGGTTGTGAGGTGTGAGCTGCGGGAGCCGCGCACGTGATACTGAAGTCGGCTAGTTTCGGTTACGCCGGGCAAAGTTTTATTTCTGAAATATGTCTGTTAGGTATTGTGTGAATGGTTGTGGGGAAAATTCTCCAGAATTAGATCTCAGGGTTAATAGAATTATCAAAATTTGACGCTGGCATTTGCAGAACTGTGTTAGTTTTACAGGGAATCCTATAAGTAATATACCTACCTAGGCTACATCTATCATCTATTTAGTCCTGTTTTTTCGATATAATGTTAGGTCTTGTTATGTTTTAGGTCTGTCTTAGAATTTTGATATAATAATATGATTTTATTCATTCCTAGTTTTTCGAACTGATGATGGAGCTGGACTCCGAAACGTTTTCAATATCGATATGGTGAATTTGCCTGGTGTTTTCTTTGCAATTTAAATTCCTTGTTAATAATACCTACCTATTCCTATTATGCGCTGATTGCTAGCATTCATGATAATTTTGGAGCTTTTATCTCGTCATGGTTCTTGTCTTCTCTCATTGTTGTACTTCTATTACTATCTGACAGGATACTTGAATAACTTGATCATCAGAAATATTTGCAGTCACATTCGTGGCCATAGAATTATTATTGCTAGGCTCCTAGAATTTTGCTTTGTCTAGAGTCTAAAAAGAGTATCATATTTTGTGTATCTGCTCGGAATTATTTTAAATTCTTGATGTCGTGAAATAAATCTAGAAGCAATCTTGAATTGAAAGTGGCATCGTTACCACCAAGCCTACGGCTGTCGTAAAACTTATTACCTAAATATTTTCATGAGTGAAACTGTTCATCGTTTCTTTTCTGGTTGATTGATTGCCAGCATAAATTGTTATAACCACTAGTTAGCCTATTATTTTCAATCATATAAAGTTATTACATTTGCGGGATTCTGACAAACCATGGCATTG